AAAGCATTTGAGAGCCCCTAAACAGCCTCTGCTCCTTGAAGTCCCTTTAGAAGTGAAGGAGTGAAGCTGCATCTGGTTGAGACCTGCTGGATATTTTCTATCTGTGGATTTGGGAGGGCTAATAAATTCTTTTTTTATTTAGCCTCTTATACTTCTCCCTTCAATCTGATATTCAGGTACCTCATGTTCCTCATGAAGGTTTAATGCTTTAGAAGTAGCAAGAGGCAGTGAGTGGGATTGGACCCATTTTCCCATCTTCCTTGGGGCGTGACTGCCAACTTAATGTAAGGAATGTAAATAAGTTTGATACTTTCAGGTACCTTTTTTTTTTACCTTTTTTTTTTTTTTTTCTGTAAGGACCTAAAAAACCTTCATTTTAAGGGCAGGATTCATTTGTTAAAAAATCAGTCACTTGAATTTCGAGCTGAATCAGTCTTTTGCAGGGGTCTTACTTGCAGAATTTCAGACAGGAAAAAAAAACACATGGCCATTCTCTGGTGGTTGGTTCTGTTTTCCAGGTATCTCCCCAAGGAAATTTGACAGCCCATGGTGAGAATTTTGCTGTCTGATCAGCAGATAAAGCATGTGATTATACACGGAGATCTGCTGATGTAGAGGATATTCTGCTCCACCAGCAGCAGAGTTTGCCTGCAGCAAAGCTGTTGGTCCATGGTCTGTGTTCTCAGGGAAAGTATTTGCCATCTTTATTTTCTCCTGCACCCCCCAGTCGTTCTGCTTGTCTCTGTTTCGTTTTAATCCTCGTTACTTTTGCAGTTGATTGTATTTCACAAGGAAAAAGAGGGGCAAACAAATTGAATTATAGGCAGCCAGAGGAGCGCAGGAGGATAAGAGGCTCTTCCAGCAGTGTGTGGGGGATGAAGTGGTGGAGAATATCCACTCATTAATGAAATTGTGATGATTCTAAAACGTCTGATTTACTTAACTACTTTGTAAATTGATCTTTAAACAGGGTGAGTTTATTAAAATATTTCAAAAAGAGAAAGTAACTGAAGCCCTGCTGGAGTACAGTTTGAAAAAGTGTTGCTGTAGTTACTCATTAAAAAGTCGTAGATAGTTGGCAATGTTGGAACATGTTCAGTAATTCCACGTTTTGCAATATTTGTTTGGGGTTTTTTAATGGAAAATTCCAAGTTCCTGCAGTTGTTTTAAATGCATAAAAGCCACTCCAGGTGTTTTAAATACATAAAAGCATTATTTCTAGATCTCATGGTTGGATATAAAAGCACGTGAAAATGGGAATTGGAGTCTCAAATCAGGTAGAGCAATAAAAAGTGTGTCTGATGCAATATATGCTGAGTATGTAAATATAAGCAAGGCAGTTTGGACATCTGTATATGACATTAGTGAGATCAGCAGGGACATACTCTGATTTTGGTGTTCTTATCTTTTTAGCATTGAGAAATTTCCCAGAAGTTCCCTAAAGGGGTTGGAGGGCTGGAAGAATATTTTGCATGGACAGACAGACAGATCATTGATGTTAGTTCAGGGTTGGTTTTTTTTCAAATTTTCCAATAATTGTGTTAAACACAGGGTAAGGACCTGACTTTGACAGTGAGTTTGTTGCTCTTAGATGACTTTCTGAACAAGATTCTGAGACACAAGTTAGAAATCACTGAATATCTTATTTTTAGGGTACAGGGTGGCCTTGTCCAGCAGCCTTTGCATGCCTGTGAATTGAAATTCCTGCACATGCACATCCCTGCTGCATCAAAGTGGGACAAATTGAGGCCAGAGCACTTTCCCCCATCCAGCCACATGCGACAGAAGGTCACCCAGTGCTCGTGCATCTGAGAACACTGCAGTTCATTAGCTGTAATTCACTAAAGGATACTTGGGATTCACTAAATGATTATGTGTAATTCACTAAAGGAGATTAATTTGGCCTGGGAACCCAGATCCAGAAGCTGAGCCCTGGCACTTTTCAGACAAATTAGGAATCACACCCAGATTTCAAAGGGAATCACTGACCACGGCCACCAACTGCTGCAGGAGAGTGGGGAGGCCCTGGCACAGCTTTCCCAGAGAAGCTGTGGCTGCCTCTGGATCCCTGGAAGTGTCCAAGGCCAGATTGGACAGGGCTTGGAGCAACATGGGATAGTGGAAAGTGTCCCTGCCCATGACAGGGGGTGGAACTGGATGATCTTTAAGGTCCCTTCAACCCAAACCATTCTGTAATTCCGTGACTGTGTGAAATAAGTTCTGTGTTGCTGGACATTTTTGAACCATCTGGAAGGTCTTGTTTCTGTCAGATATGAGTTTTTTCGTTCACAGGGCTAGAAGGACAAAAGTTCTGGGTTTCTACATCTGTGACAAATGGCAGATTAAACTGAATAATACATGTTTTAGTATTAAACCTTGAAGAGTCTGTAAAGTAGGAATTTTGAGTAGAGGTAATTCTGGATGGAGGCTCTGGCTCATTAAATTCTCCAGTTCAACCAAGTACTTGAACACATGAAACTTGATGTTGGCAGATAAATGATTCAGGAAATGGTGACATTAGAAATACAGGTAAGAAATGCCCAAACCAGGTTTATCTCTAAGGAAAGGCGAGTTAACATTTCCAGTGAAAACTACCTCAAGGCCAGATGTTTAAAGAAATTTTTTTTGTTTGAAAATGAGCTGTCACAGGGCCTTGCGGGCTGTGATGAGTCAGTAAGTCAGTGTGACACTTCTCCCAAAACTTGGAGGAAAAGATTGAGCAGCCCTGCCTCCCCCAGAGGCCAAAGCTAGAACACAGAACACAGTGTCTGCTTCCAAATGCTCCTTGTCAAGTTGGGAACGCCTCAAGTCTGAGATGCCACTTCCAAATTGTGATTGTTACGATTCCAGTCAGTTGCTGGTCCATTCCTGCACTGCCTGCCCTGCCCTTCTTGAGCTGAATAATTTGGGTACTTGTCTTCTCAAATTTAAAATGGCCTGAATGGTTCCAGTAATCAGTTGTCCAAAGGACAGCACATTCCCGTTGGAGCCAAGCACTTATATGGATGTGGTCCGTCTGTCTTCTCAGTCATTTTCTTGGATGGGAGTCATCCCCTTGCCTTGTCCTCCTTCTTCCTTCTCCCTTGGATGGGAGTCATCCCCTTGCCATGTTCTCCTGCTTCCTTCTCCCTTGGATGGGAGTCATCCCCTTGCCGTGTCCTCCTGCTTCCTTCTCCCTTCAGTGGGAGTCATCCCCTTGCCTTGTCCTCCTACTTCCTTCTCCCTTGGATGGGAGTCATCCCCTTGCCTTGTCCTCCTGCTTCCTTCTCCCTTGGATGGGAGTCATCCCCTTACCTTGTCCTCCTGCTTCCTTCTCCCTTGGATGGGAGTCATCCCCTTGCCTTTTCCTCCTGCTTCCTTCTCCTTTGGATGGGAGTCGTCCCCTTGCTGTGTCCTCCTGCTTCCTTCTCCCTTCAGTGGGAGTCATCCCCTGCCTTGTCCTCCTGCTTCCTTCTCCCATGAAACAATGAAAGGGGTTCAGTAGTTGATGGATGAGGCCAAAGATGGGACCATCTCCTCCTTTCCCTATTTCCCGGGCTGCAAAAGGCATTTTTGTGGATTTGTGCATCCTGGGTGTGTAGGACCATGTCTGTACAGTTACACTCCAACTCCAGCTCTACTTAGCAAGCCAGTTCTCAGTGTTCTTCAGCCCATATTACAGATCTCTAATCATCCTGTGTCTCCTGTTGGGAACTTCTTTGTGCCAGTACAAAAATGGACATGAGGAGTCATCTTCAAAATCCATGGACAGGAATAGGCAGCCCTGTCCCTGGAAGGTCCCACAGCCATCATCCCTCTCTTGGTTTTCACAGGGTCCTTGGAATCCTTATTTGACTTTTCTGAGTGCTGACAGGGATGGTGCATTAGCTCTGTCACGTCTCCTGGAGTTTGAGTGATCTCCTCACCCAGCTCTCCTGCAGGAATGGTAATAAACCCTTGACTCATAAGAAGATTCACGAGAAGGATGGAAAATGCCTTGTTCTCCTTGCCAAGTTCTGTCTGCCCTCCATCTGCCATCCCTTCTTCTCAAGATCTAGAGCTCTGAAGGAGGTGATCTTGTTGTTTGTGTGCCAGTTGGATCTGTAGTGAGGAGACTTAGGAAAGAAAAGAGATTGAGGGAGCATATTGTGACTTTTTTCGGTTCCATGTCTGGGCTTTGCAGCAAATCCATGTTCATTGTTCTGGCACCTTGGGAAGTTTAGGAGTTAAAAATGCTTTTGATGAGCCACCAGGATGATTGAGTTACATGAGAGGGCTGCCTTTGGAGGGGAAAAGGCTGAAGACTTATTTCTTTAAATGAAAGCTCAGGAGTAATTGGATGTGCTGCACTTTCCTTGTCAGGGCAGGCGATCCGTGACAGCGTTCCAGGTTCAAAAGTTCCCAACTTCAGAAATCCAGCTTCAGAAACGGGACTTCAGTCAAATCAACTTAGGTCCTACAGGCCACTAGAATTTCCGTTAGGTGTGTTTTTATCTTCTTTTCTTTTTTTTTTTTTCAAGGTTGCAGCAAAAGTTAGGGCAACTTGAACTCTTTGTAGTTAAGATTTGAAAGAGTCGAGACTGATAAATCTCACGTCACAGCCAGTTAAAACTTCTGCAGAAAAACTCAACCACTGGCTTCGGCTGAACAGTTTTGGAATGTGGGATTTTTGCCTGGTGGGTAAATGGGGGCAAAATTTTGTGTGAAATCAAGTTGCAGCCTTAATAACTGAGCAACCACTGTCTCTGCAGCAGCGGTTTGTCCAAAGCAAAAGGGTACAAACTGCAGGTGTAGGGAATGCCAGGAGAAGAGGGAAATGCTGTTGGAGCACTCCAAAGAAAACGAGCCCTTTGTGAGCCTGGCATTTTTGGGAGATTGCCTGCTGAGGTGGTTTGGAGGTGCACTTTTGTGCTGCCAGTTCTGTCGTGTGTGTGTCTTAAAGTCTTGGACCGCGATTGATCTTTGAGGCACGTAAAGTACTTCCCGTGTGCCGCAGTTGACCTGCTTTCCCTCATTTTCAGCCTGCTGGAAACCATGTCTCACTACACGGACGAGCCAAGATTTACCATAGAGCAGATAGACCTTCTGCAGCGCCTGAGACGCACGGGAATGACCAGGCATGAGATCCTCCACGCTCTGGAAACCTTGGATCGCCTCGACCAAGAGCATAGCGACAAATTCGGGAGAAGGTCTGGCTACGGGGGCGGTTCCTACGGCAACAGCACCAACAATGTGCCGGCCTCCTCCTCCACGGCCACAGCCTCCACGCAGACCCAGCATTGTGGGATGTCCCCCTCGCCCAGCAACAGTTACGACACCTCCCCGCAGCCTTGCACTACTAATCAGAACGGGAGGGAGAGTAACGACAGGTTGTCCGCCTTCAACGGGAAGATGTCGCCCACCCGGTACCCCCTGGCCAACAGCCTGGCCCAGAGGTCCTACAGCTTCGAGGCCTCCGAGGAGGACCTGGACATCGACGACAAGGTGGAGGAGCTGATGAGGTTAGTGGAGGTCTTGTCGCTTGGATCTGTAGTGGGGAGACTTAGGAGAGAGAAGAGGTTAAGGGAGCGTGTTGGGATTTTTTTTCAGTTCCGTTTCTGGGCTTTGCAGCAAATCCGCGTTCGTTGTTCTGGCACCTTGGGAAGTTCGGGAGTTAAAAATGCTTTTGATGAGCCACCACGGAGTTTGGAAGGGCAGAGTGAGAAGTGCCTCAGAGGAGATGTGTGTGTTGGAGGAGCGCTGTGGTAGCCATAGAGGGTGGGAAAACACTGACCCACGTCGCCCAGAGAGGTGGTGGATGCCCCATCGCTCCAAACATTCAAGGTCGAGTTGGTCTGAACTCTCAGCAACCTGATCTAACTGAAGATATCTCTGTTTATTGCAGGCCTTTAAAGGTCTCTTCCAAAGCCCAAACCATTCCATGGGGATTCAATGATTATCAGGAGAGCAGGAGCTGCTTCAGATCTGTTCCCTGCCAGTTCCCCAAGGGTCACTATGCCAGAACCTCTCACCTGCCTCTCAGCCTTGTGCAGGCAGCCCCTGGCCCTGTGGGTATCCCACAGTTTTGCTATTGGAATATTTTTGCCCATGCTGTGTCAAAAAGTGGGATTGCACTGATTTTCCACCCTGCTTTTATTCAGAAGAATTCTTACTGGATGTCCACTCCCATGACTCCTCCTCTACTGCTTCATACCCCTTGTAATTCCTTCCATATAGAGGGAGAGTAGGGAATCCTGCTTGGATTGGTCAGTGCTTTCCAGTGGGATCTGCAGAGGATGGATGTTTCCTGTTTGTAATTTGTGGCAGGGATTTGCAGAGGCTGCAGGGTGGTGTAGGGAAATGCAAACAGTAAAGAAGAACAGAAGTTTTCAGTCAGAGCCAGTTGTTGGGTTTTTTCCCCAGCCTGACCTTTCTTTACTTCTGGCAGCTTCTTTTTCAGGCAGAGATGAAAGGAGGGGATTATACTCCTGAGGATGAAAGTCGGAGTCAGTGGGCTTTGAGAGCACAAAAAAAATAAGAGGAAAGGCCAAATGTCTCAAAACAATTTTGGTCATAATGTTGGACTATCTTTTTCCCTCACCCCGAAATTACAACATTCACAAAGTACCTGTGTGAGAACTGGGGTTTGTAAGCTCCAGGATGGGAATATGTTTGGAGATTCAGGGTAAAGGTGTGGCTTTTGAGGGAGAGGATTAGAGATGAGCAGTGAGAAAAGCTGATCACCCTCATTCCCTACTGGATGATGGAAGGTGGGTGCAGCAGAGAGCCAGGTTCCCATGGCTGAGGTTTAATCATCCCATTGAGTTTTGGGTTCCTATGCAATAAGTCTCAGGTAATGCTTTTAGTGCTTATTTAAACCGAAATTATGTTTATTTGCAGGCATATGGAAGATGAGTGTTGGGTACAGAAATAAAAATGAACCCACAACATGGCATTTATTTTGCATTTAGATTTGCAAGCTCGAGTCTGCCTTGAATGCTGCTGTGAGGGGAGAAGGGAAATGACCAAATAATAAAGCCTAATAAAGGCTGGTTTTAATTGTCTGCCCTTTTCAGGAAGGGAGAGAGGAAGAGAAAGGCAAAATATGTGTTTAATGCAATTGAAATTTGCTGTATATCACAGTCCCTATGCAACTCCCAATTTATTTGCTTTTTAGCACAGTTTTAGCCCCTTCTGAGCTACTCATGCAGACCTTGTAAAAATCATACAAATACCTCAGTTCATTCAGTGCAAAATCAGGACTAAAGCAGAGGAGTAAGGGGGTTCAGTGAGGGGGCAGAGGTTGCAAAATCTCTTTTCCTTCAGATCTTTTCCTTGAAAGGCTGGAGGGGAGGTTGATGTGTGCAAATTCATTTGGGTAACTAACCATGCAGCCCCTGCTATCCTTTATTTTTTATTTTTTGTGCCTCATTTTTATGGCTGAGGTTTTTATGCTGGTGTGAGAGATTTATTCATCCCTGTGTAATGAAACTTTGTACATTCCATATGGCAGTGCTGCACCTAATATGAATTATATGGGACATGAGTCATCCATTCTCCTGCTCCTGTACTCGGATCAGACGTGACACTTGTTAAAAGAAGTGTCCATTGCTGAGGCACTTGGACTGTTTGGATGCCAGCCTTCCCTACTCCTGATCCCCTAAATAAAGGAAATAAAGCCATTTTCCACCTTCATGGTGCACTTTGGCCTGTCCCTCTTTTTGTGTGTCCTGTTGTTGTTTTGTTTTGGTAGGAGGGACAGCAGTGTGATAAAGGAGGAAATCAAAGCCTTCCTGGCCAACCGGAGAATCTCCCAAGCAGTTGTTGCACAGGTAACAGGTAAGAGCTCGGGGGGGGGGTCCTTTCTGAATTTTGGGAAGCTGTGTCTAAACTGCCTCTCAGAGCACGGTGCAGATGTTGGAATATCACTTGGCTTTCTGCATTGCAGTGCAGATCTGTCAGCTTAGTCATGATAATGTATGCCTTTGATTTAAGACCCATTGTCCTGCACATCATGGAACTTCCCCAGTGAATCACTTTTTTTTTCCCATTTTTTTTTCCTATGGCTTGTGCTTGGAGATTTTATTTTACAGCATTAAAATAAGCCTGAAGTTCTTATCTTAAAATGAAAACGGTTTTCCTTAATTCTTAAATTGTTTGTTGAGTGCAGCAAATAGATGCCTATCTGCATCTCTGTGTATGGAGAGGGAGAGAGATAATGTGCATTTATATTCTAAAAAGTATATGAATAGTCAGGAGATGCAGCTGTAACTGGTATCACTGCAACCAGGAGTAGGATTATGAGAGTTGGAAGTTTTCTCCATCACTTGCCTTTGAGTCACAGTTAAAATGAGATCTGAGTTTGAGGGGTGACCAGACCAGCTTTGATTTTACACAGAAGGAGGAGTAGTTGTGTTTGTACCCCTTGCCCTGAGCCTTCTCTCTTTCACATCCAGGATGAGTGAACACACTGCAGTGATATCCCACCTTCCCTGGGTGTGTTCCCAGAGCTTTACACAAAGAGTGACAGAGTCCTGCTGCTCCTCCATGGGGTGGGGGTGTTATTAGTTCTCCTTTACAGGCTCACACTGCTTATCCAGAACACTGTGGCTGGTGGCATCTTCAGAATCAGTTTGGTTGGAAAAACCCTCCGAGACCATCAAGTCCAACCATACTCCCAGCACTGCCAAGGCCACCACATGTCCCCAAGTGCCACATCCACACAGCTTTTAAATCCCTCCAGGGATGGGGACTCCCCCACTGCCCTGGGCAGCTTCTTTTCCATGAAGGAATTGTTCCCAATATCCAACCTAAACATGCCTTGGCACAGCTTGGGGCTATTTCTTCTTGTCCTGTCCCTTGTTCCCTGGGAGCAGAGCCCGACACCCCCCTGGCTCCCCCCTCCTGTCTGGGAGTTCAGAGAGAGAGAAGAGGTCCCTCCTGAGCCTCCTTTTCTCCAGGCTGAGCCCCCCCAACTCCCTCAGCCACTCTTGCTGCTCCAGCCCCTTCCCCAGCTCCATTCCCTTCCCTGGACTTGCTCAAGCCCCTCAATGTCTCAGGAGGAAAACTTGATAAAATCCCAAAGCTCAATCCCGTGTTACACCTCTAAGACTTAGTAATTTTTTAACCCAAGCTTGGATGAAGATCTTGAAATAGATAATTTTTAAGGTTCCTTGGTGACTGGAAATGCCAAATCAGCAGGAGGGAAGTTGTTCTCTTATATTTCCAGTATTTGAAATGTCATAAGAACCCATCTGTCTGGGAGCTCTGGATTTGCAGACAGTTGAGGTGGGCAGGCAGGAACAAGTGCTGGAACCACGGTGCCTGGAATTCCTTCCACATCTCTAACTCTTCTCTGTGATCTTGGGCAAAATTCCTTGTCCTTCCCTGGTTTCAATTTCATCTGGAAAATCATGAGATTAACATTTTGTGTAAATGTAAGGGATGTTTTCAGCCTTATCAGATGTTAGCGCTAGTATTTCAATAATTAAACTATAAGTCAAGTTGCTTAAATTGTACCTGAACTCGGAAATTTTGGTAGTTAGTGGGTCACTCTCCTGCTTTTGTGCATTCCCTGCCTGAGTATAGTCCTGGAATAACCCATCTCTGAATTAAGCTCTGTGCAGCACCCTTTGTGTCTGCCAGCAAGTCAGACCATCTTCCCCTGCAGGAGGAGTAATGCAGAGAGGGAAAAACTGCAGGAAAGGAGTCTTTCCAAAGCAAGCCAATATTTCTTTTGGTCAGTGGGGCCACTGAATCAGAATCACCACACCAAAACTAATGTACTGATGAAAGGAATGGATGTAATTATAATTAACTAGGTGGGCACATGTCTCTGATACCCCTGGGTCAGGCTGTAGGAAAGTCAAACCCAGTCTCTCTTCAGAGCTGATGGTTTTTCTCCTCCCATCCTGAGCTGTCTCTCTTGGATTTCAGTTGGCATGAGGTTGGCATGTGGCCTTTGGGAGCTCAGATTGTTTCCTCCCGTGAATAAACGACTCCATCCACTTCAGACGTGGCTGACTAAATTTCACACCCATCCCACTCAACTCAAGGGGAATCCAGGATGAGCTCCCACAGTGATCAGAGAAATATTGGAAGATGTCACTGGAGAGAAGGAGGAGTGAACTAGTGGCACTGTGTTATTATCCTGTTGTCAGGCCAAATCAATGGGAAACCATGTAGATCTTTGCAGTTGATCTGTGTCATCCTCTGTGGGAAGGTTCCAGGAGCTGATTGATTACAAATATAACCCACAGCCCTGTGTAAGCAGATGTGTAGTACTTGCATGCCACCATCAAGTACATAGTTATGGCTTATCTGAAAGAAATAGTGAATCTCAGAGATGTTTGAAAGGACCAGATTAAAGAGCGTGCTCAGCACTACCAGGGAGAAACATCAGCTTCCTCTCAAAAGCACAGGGTGGTGAGGAGGGACTAAAATAGCTCAGGACAGAGATCCAGAGCAGAGAGCACGTGTCCCAGGGCTCTCACTTCCAGAGTTTTTTAGGCCTGATGAGTGCTGGTTGACTTGTGTGTTCTTCAGATGTCTCCAGCATCCAAGAGGGTCCCGAGGAATGCCTGGAAAACCGCTTTTGGTTCATTAAAATAACAGTTTGTATAGACAGAGGCAATGCTTTGCAGAATATATGATCCCAAATGGCATCATCTCAGTATTTACAGCCTTAGTCTTACTGGTAAAGGTGTTCTGTAAATATTTACTTATACAAGAGGAAAATGAATAAATTAGCTTTTAGGCTAATTGTGGTCCAGGAAGAGGCAAGAAAGAAAAGAGAAATGTATGGCTGGCTCTGAACTCTCTCAGGAAAGTTATTTGGCTTGGCTGCCTCTGCTGCCAACTTTGTCCTTTCTCTCTCCACCAATTCCTTTAGTACTCTAAAAAATTCCATTTGTGTGTAATGGGAGGGGATCATTTCATGGGGAGGGGGAAAGCAATAACAGTGCATCTGAATAGTGATATTGGACCTTTAGCTTGGAGCCTAAAACTTGGCTGCCTTGTCTTAATTATGGCTGGGTTTGAACCGGCCAGATTGGACATACAAGTGATAAACTTCAGCTGAACCAATGTGTTTGGACATCTTCAGGCTGCAGACTTCTGATCAGCTCCTCAGAGGCTGTGATGTTTCCCCAGTGCTTGCGACCTTATTTATCCCCACTCTGTAACTTGTTGTGCTCTGCCCTTGGGGCAGAAACCTGCCCTGCAACTTGGACCCCTCAAAACTTGCGTTTTGCCTTATTTTGCTAATTCTTCAAGCTCCTCTTTCATTCAGAAATTTATTTCTCCTTTTTCTCATCTTAATTCTCATATTGCAAAGCACTTAACAGAATCCACGTTCCTACCCCAACCTCTGCATCAATAAACAGCTTTTCCTTTTGTTTTTCCTGCTGTAGCACAAGGGAGGTGATGGAGAGGGAGGATACATGAGGAACATGGAGCTGAAGGTTAAAGTCAGCTGTTGCAGTAGAACAATGTTTTAGGCTCTCTTAGTCCATATAAAATTACCAGAAACTTGAAAAATTATTTAGATCATGAATCTGATGGGAAAAAGTTAAACCTGGAAGACATTCTATGGTGTACTGAGAGGGCAGGTTGGAAAATAGTAACAGAGTATTAAATGATGACTTGAAAATAAAGGAATGATTGATAAGAAGCAAAACCTTAACATAACACTTATTAGTGCTGGTCCTAAAAACAGGAGCTGCTTTTTATAGAAACTTTTTTAATGGTGTCTGTAATAAGATAAACAAGAAGCACTTGGGTTGGGCTCTGTATAAATAATCTCCTACTGATAAGAAAAATGACAGTATAAACAGGAGCTAATAATAGTTCCTGCGGAATTTCCTATCTTGGATTTGGAGCTGCTTTTACCAGGAGCTGCAGCTTTGCTCAGGGTGGGGGTTCAGCCCCATGTGGGGCAGGTGAGGGGCCAAATTTTTATCAGCCATAATTTGAAGTCTTGTGCTGCAATTTGCCTTAGTTGCCACCAGAATTGTGTCTGGGCATGAACTGAGTTCTGGTCAGAAGGCAAAGGATAAAAAGAGAAATGTAAACTTGCTAAGAGATGCTGCCTGAGCTTCCAAATGGGGCTGGAAAATGGGGGAAATGTTTTCAAGAACTGTCTGTTCTGTGCTACAGTAAAGGAGAGAGAGAGGAGTATTCAGGGATGAGCCATTTGCAGATGGGAACAAATATTTTGATGGATGATGCCTCTGCAAGGTTTGGAAATACTACCTTTCCCATTTTTTACACATAGGGAGTGAAGGAACAACAAAAAAAAAATCCTTATTTTCCTGAGGTTGCAGAGCAGAAATTTGAATTCAGATTTTTTAAAAAACCAAACCATTTAAAAAACCAAAACAAAACCCAAGAATAAAAACGCAGAGGTCATTTTTTGTTGTTGTTTTTAAATACACATAGGGCTTTGCAGGGTGCAGTTCTGCTCACCTTCCCAATTATTCTGCTGGTACAGCCCAGCCCTGTCCTACTGTCTCTGTCTTAACTGAGGTGAGAATTCCAGGAGCTGGCTTTCCATTATGCTAAACACACACAGCATCCAGTGCAGTGGAGGGCAGCCTTGGAGCACTGCTGGAACAAATAAAATCCCTGAAGGTTTGGAACCTACACACAGGGATGCTGAGCAAATGCAAATACAAAGGGAAACTTAACTAGTTCCACTGTGTGAAGAGAATTCAGAAAGTTACTGAGTTACTGATCTTCTGAAATGGCATGCCATTGGATTCTGAAAAACATTTTCCTTCCTTCTTCTTTTTTTTAAACTCATGTCAACACAGGGAAAGCTTTTTTTTTCCCCCTATGATTTTGATCTGTGCAGGTTTTCTGTAAACAAGCTTTGCTAATCTCCTTAAATTGATAGGTGTCCTTTGCAAGCACTTGTTCTGTGGATGTAGGACTTTGCTTACAAAGTGAAGAATTAAAACACAGTCAGTTACTTTCTTCTCCGGGTCTGACGTGTTCCAGGTGCTTCTAAAAACCTCTCCTGAAAGAAACATGAAAGAAATGCAAAGCAGAGCTGCCGAACAAATCTGTGAAGGTGAAAACCAGTTCCCAAAGACTCGCTGAGTAGCAGCATTGAGGGTTATGAGGAGATTTGTACTGCAGATACCAGTTGCCTCCTCTTGATGCTGTGTTTTGCCATTTTTTTATGTATTTGAAAGGGAAACTCTTTCCCCACATAACTTGTGTAGCAACCAGCAGGGCTGGCCAGAGGAGCGAGCACGACCTGCCACCTCTGTGGGGTTTATTGTTAGGAAGCATAGCCTGCCACGGGGAGGAGTGATGTGTGACACAAGAAGTCAGCATTTAAATTGCAACAGTCCTTTGTGAACACCACTTTTCTTCAGTGTTGTCAGTGAGAAAACTACGTGTGCTCACAGCCACGTGTTCGTGGCCCTGCTGTTGCTGGGCCCAGAGGATGACAGTCTTCCCCATTCAGTTTGGGAGTGAATTTCCTCAACACAGCTGGATTTTCAGTACTCCAGAGAAACTTATTTCATTAAGCTGCTTCTGGCAGCAGGAGGATTTCTTTTTTTCCTACCAGTGCAATTTCCTAGAGAGGAATGATTACAGACAACGTGCCGGCACGGTCCTGGTGGCAGTACCTGGCCATGACCCTGAGGCACTTGAGATGCAACAAACTCTGATGTGACAATTGGGGGGGGTGGGGTTGTTTTTTTAATTGAAAAGAGTGAAGAATGGATTTGGATTAGGACACTGGAATCTAGGAGATCCTGGATCAGTTCTGCTACAGACTTTGCATGTGACCTTGATCAGTGAAGCTGTTGAAATGCGGTTTTTGGGCCTCCAAACCGAGCTGAGGTACAGATAAGTTTTATGCCTTAAGAACGTTTTGCAGAAGCAGCTTTGTGAACTGTGAGGACTCGCAGTGAGTCGAAGGATCAGCTGCTGTGGCTAAATGACACCAGTTATTTTGCCACAGAAGGATTCCAGCACAGGTACAGCTCTGTATTGGAGGACTTTGGTGCAGTTCAATACGTTGTGACAGTGCAGAGTTGCCTGGTGAGATGGATATGGGTTAAAAGATGGAGAAAGACATCAACCTGTTGGAGCAAATCCAGAGAAGGGCCATGGAGATGATTAGAAGGATGGGGCACCTCTCCTGTGAGAACAGGCTGAAGGGATTGAGGTTGTTCAGCCTGGAGAAGAGAAGGATCTGGGGAGATCTTATTGTGGCCTATAATAAAGATGGGAGAAACTTAGCAGGGCCTGTTATGACAAGGAGTAATGTTTTTAAACTGAAGGAGGGTCAGTTTAGATTAGATAGAAGAAAGAAGCTTTTTACAGTGAGAATGTTAAAACCCTGGCACAGGTTACCCAGAAAGTTGTTGGATGGCCCATCCTTGGAAACGTTCAAGGTCAGGTTGGATGGGGCTGGATGAACAACCCAACGTAGTTGATGATGTCCCTGCTCATTGCAGGGGGTGTTGTACTAGATGACCTTTAAAGGTCGTTTCCAACTCAAATTTTTCTATGATTCTATGAAAGTGGACGTGGCAACACCCAGCTTGAGTCTTTTGGCTCCTTCCCCTTTGTGCTGTCCCGAGCACATGGTCTGGAGTGGTCACATCTGTACCACATTGTGACCGTGTCAGGCAGCTTTGTGAGCAGAATTTGGATTTTCCACTTGCTGAGGACATCTAATCTCTATTTATAATTTTTATCTAACAGTGCTCTGTGTTTATATCTTAGTTTGTTATCCAAGCACTCAGCACACGCTAATTCACTGCTGTAAGTGTAAGTGGACCGTAGTAAACAAGTAAATGTGTGGTGCTGTTACCCAGTGATTGATGGGAGCTGGGCAGCCAAACCTTCGTGTCCCACAGCACTGTGTTCAAAAAATGGCTTTTATAAATCATAAGAGTAGGTCAAGAGCTGCAAATTTTCGAAACTTGGTCCTTTCACTGGTGGTCAAGCATCTAGATGGCATGATTTCAACTAGGCTCTTGAAGCCTTGGTCTGGGCCAGAGGATATCACCAACTTACATTGACTTCTTTTGGTATTAACTTGTAACTTCCACTGTTACTTGATGTAAACTTGGCAGGATCTAAGATTTCTGCTTGGTTGAATAATTCCACTTCCCTTGTAATATAAACTCAATTTTAGATCTCAGTGTGGGCCCTGGGGGTAGGCAACTCTTGGCTGCCCCAGCTGTTCCTGAGCTCTTTCAGTTGTGGGCAAGGCAGTCTCTGGGAATGGGTTTTAAGAAAATCAGGGTCTGTTTTGTGGGCACAGCCCTGGTGAATAGCAGTAAACTTCTGCCTCTGAAACAAAACATTCCTACCCCTTTTCCCCAGGATAATTAAAACTTCATAGCCTCCAGAATTCCGTTTAAGGAAGAACAATTAAGAGTATAAACCCCATGATTTTAAAAATCTGGTTGGAGTAAACCCACCTGAATATGGTACCTGAGAGTCAAGTTGAGAACTTAACTGCCTTTGGTGTTCAACACAGAAAAAAAGCACAGTAAAACCCCCAGATTGGAAGCAGTAAAACTACAGGGGGTTGTTTTTCATGAGTTAAATATGATTATGAGATCTTACAAAACCTTGATGCATCTCAAGAGGGAACAGGGAGTTTGGTTTCTGTGTGAGAACCAGCCTCTACCTGCCTGGGCATTATCACCAAGCAGGTGGTGGCACAGGTGGTGTTGGCAGTATATTGTTACTTGGAGCACCTCCTAAAACTTCACTTCTCAGGAGAGCTGAGATGTTGTTAACCCTTCCTGGTGGCTGAAGAGCCTTGTGGAAAGCACAGGGAGTTGTTCTTCCTGAAGTTCTGCTGCAATTATTCAGCAAACTATACATTTGTTGATGTTGCCAAGTGAACCTACAGTTCACCTCCTGGTGCACTTTTAAACCTCTTGTTTTGTTTAGTTTCCCTCCTAATCACTTTTTGCCCTTTCTGCATTGATCCTTCATTCGCTGTCAGGCTTTGGAAATAACTGTGTTACCTTCTATGATTTTTTCCCCCTTTTTACTCTTAGAAATCTTGCTATAAAAACTGGAATATTTTGTCCCTGATCATGCCTGGATACCCAGAGCTTTACTCCTGCTTTGCTGGCAGCCCTTCCTGGGTTGTTTTCTGGCCGTTGTTCCAGCTGCTGACAGTTGGTTTGCTCCATTTCTGGGCTGATTTGATCTGTATCACACAGACTGTTTCTGTGTTTATCTCCCTCATTCAAGCATCGAGTGATAACGATCTCTTAACTATGGTTATATGTGTGTAACAGTGGGGAAGGGACTTGTTCCCATTTCACAGATGAAGAAGTTTAAGAGTCGGGGAAGTTGTGGACAATTCGAGTCGCTGGTAGATTTGGCTTCCCACTTTTGCACCCTTTTTGCCTGTGGGTCGATTGGGCAGATTCCAGGATGTCCCTTGAGTAAGGATGAAAAAAACACCAGGGAGAAGTTAAGGCAGTTTGGGACAGGGCAGGGAGGCTTCAGCTCTGCTTTTCCTGGGATCCAAGCACCGCAGGTTCCTGGGCTTTGTGAGGCAACACCTTTTATCAGTATAAAAACCACCTACAAATGTTTTATATATAACAAGTTTTCTCTTTCTCCTTTTTTGTGTTTTGTTCTGGTTTTTGCAGGGATCAGTCAGAGCCGGATCTCCCATTGGCTGTTGCAGCAGGGGTCGGACCTGAGTGAACAGAAGAAAAGGGCATTTTACAGATGGTACCAGCTTGAGAAGACAAATCCTGGTAAACAAATACAGCCTAAACATCTCCTGCTGTTTGTTTATGGAATGGAAACCTTTTATCACTGTTATATCACTGATAATTTACTTCTTGTCTGGGGTAGTCCAGAGGTTCTTCCTCTGAACGGTGTAATTTTTGGGAGGGTGGGAACAGATCTTCATTTTACTTCTCAACAAATGATCCAGAGCTGACTCATCCAGCTCTGTCTCATCCATAGCTGTCTGTTCAGCTCCTCAGTCATGGATACTTGCCTTGCCCTCCCACCACTAACTAAATCTGGGAATCAGAAGCTGTCAATGGAGTTCCAGTCAGTTAATTAATGAAATACCTGCTGAGGCTCTTCAGAATGAACAATTAGAAAACATTAATAATGGCTGCATAATACAGAGTTGCAGCAAAAAATCCACAGTTTGGCAGAGAGGATCTTTGGGATAACTTCAGAGGGTTTTGAGTTGGATCTCCTGGATGGGATGTTGATAGTTCCAGTGATAAACTGGAGATGTGTCTTTCAAATCCCACCTGCCTCTCCAAATCTCAAAATAGATCTTGAATATAAAAGGAGAAGTGAAGCTCCTCATTATCTTTAACTAACCAGCAATCTTCAGCATCACAGTTGAATTAATTTCCTCACATTGTTCTTCTCCACAGATTTTGTTTGACCACAATTCTTTTTTTTTCCCTTTAGCAGTTTTATTGTAAAGATCAAAATATTTACGTTTAATTTCCTTTAAACAATGGCGTGATTAAATTAACTGCGTAATTGTTTTAAGGAATTTAAAACTCAGGCTCTCTAATGCAAGCTTGGCTTCAATACCCAGAACTCTATTAAGAAAAATTCCAGTGAAAACAAGAGTCTCAAAACCCCTGCTTTGTGTGTGAGCTGAAAATCAAGAGGCTCCAGCTGCCAGTTGGCCTGGGACTGCCTCAGATTTAAGTTGGGTGGGTTCAAAGTGACAGCTGAGCCTGTTTCTTCTGTTAAGCATCTAGAAATTTGTTTTAAGGAATGAAAGTGCCAAGGAGCCTTGGTTTTTGCACTGGCTGGAATTGTGACACTCAGCATCAGCAAAGTTCCTGGGTACAAGCATCCAGTATCAGCTCCGTGGAGAGGCTGGGATTGTACCCTGCAAAGTGACTCCCAGACACTTCCCTTTGATGGAAGGTGTTACCTCCAAAGTAGTGGAGAAACTTAGAGGGTTTTGGAAAGTGTATTTTGGGGAAAAAAACCCACAAAAATCTGCTCCAGATGAAACCTGTTGTGTGGATCTTTCCTGTCACTTTGCATTTTTTCTTGACAGTGTCGCATGAAGCTGTTCAAGAAATCACAATCTTTGCTGGGATAAGAGAAATCTTGTCCAATTCAGCACTGAAATCTTTATTTCTTAACCTTCTTTCTTTCCCCATATCCACAAGCTCACATCTCCTTTGTCCTTTTGCTCTTGAGAAGTGTCTTAAGGAAGGAAGACTTTCAACACTGAAGGATGTGGCTTAAATTGAAATGAGTCCACGTAAATCTCTGCTTTTCTTTATACACACATGGAAAACCTCCTGGAAGAGGGGTTGTTTGAGTGTAACCTTTTTCCCAATAAGAAATCTTAAACAGCATTTTCAAGAAGTGTAAAAGGGAAATTGTTTCCTCTGCCTAAGCAAAGGGACTATTTGGATGCACTTAAATTCCTTTTAGAACCAAATAACATTTGGTTTCTTTTAAGGCACTGAGGTAAAGAGAGGAACCTTCAGCTTTCCTGCAGCTGTGGGGAAAGTCTGCTTGAGGAAAATGGGGTTGTATTTATTTATTTATTGTAGGATCATCCACTGCTTTGAATTACTGCCATCTACTATATTGCAGGTCAGACCAGGTAGCCAGGAGATAATTAACAAGTGTCTTCTGGAAAGTACCAACCTTGTTCAAAGAGTTCTGGATTTAAATCACTGTTACAAAACCAATTTAGAGCCGAAGTTTTGGATCCTACTTGGAGTATCCTGTGATTAGTAGACAAACCAGTACATTCTACTGCCTCCTCTAAAGCCAGAAAATGAGGAAATCAGTGGAACTTCCTGCTACGTTCCCAAAGAAGTGATGCCATCACTGCACTCTCTGTAGAGTGTGAAAGGTTGACCTCCTTGGAGGAAACTTGAGAGATTAAATGACTGGCATGTGCTTTTTTCTATTTGCTTGCTTGCTAAGAAGTGGCATTTGGCTTTCTGTTCTCAGAATTCCCAACTTTTCCAATTCCAGCTGCTGGGAACAAAACCTCAGTCCTTTGAGTGACAGAGTCAGGTCTCTGTGCAGAACACCTGCATGTTTGAGTTACCAATGGGCAAAGTGAGGTTTTTTGGAACTACTTAGTTCCCCAATTTCTTTAATTCCTTGTCATGCAAAGCTGGACCCTCAGAGTAAGTCCAGACTGAATTTGTGTAATGGAAAAAAACCTTTCACTTAAAATTGAACCAGTTTTGAAGGACTAGGACAGCAGATAAAATCTATTTATAAACTGGGAAGGAGGAATAGTTGTTTTGTGTGGAAAGGACTGGAGATCTCTTGGCAGGCCTGCAGCCTTCCCTTGGCTCTGCCAGTTTTTCTCTACAATTTGTAGAATTCACCTTTCTATCCCACATTCCCATCTCCTCAACAAAGGTGAGCCCCATTCCCTGAGTGTGACACCCCTCACAGCAGGGCCTGTCTTTTACTGTGCTTATATAAGCAAAAGATAACTTATAAATATATAAAAAGAGATTTTATTTTAGGGTTTTTTTTCAAATAGAATGGTGCTATATAATGCTTTAAATCATCCACAAGCTCTCTTGCATCTGCCAACCAAAGAATTTCATGCTGGGGAGCCTTAAGGCAGTTTCAGGACACTGCTGCTGTTCAGATGGTGCTCCTATATGGAAGAGACTCAGCAATTCCATCACTTCCATTCTTTTCCAGCTTTCTCTGACCTCTTGAATGTGCTGTTTGTTCCTTGCTTGGGTTTGATTGCTGGTTTGCATGGGCACTTTCTGTATTTCTCCTGTCTCTGGTGGTGGGTGTTCAGACAGCAGCAGGCTGGAACGTTGCAAGAGAGGCTGAAATCTCATGGACCAGGGGAAAAAAACCCACCCACTTTTCCTACTGTTTGCAATAATCTTGCTCAAAAATGTCTTAATCAACGTTTTCCTGGTAGGAGTGATGTCGGAGTTAATGGCAATGCTGTGAATTCCAGTGTTCTACTGGTTGTAAATTTTTCTGGGAGGAGTTGCCAATTAGGGTGAAAGGCAGTTTTTTTGTTGAAGGGGAGAAGTCAATGCTAAATGCAAGTATTTGAAAGGTCTTTAATCCAATTAATAGGGATGCTTTTCATTTAGATGGCGCTTTTTTCAGACAGGCACCACTTGTCCTGTGGTTTGTGGAGGACTGAGAGCATTTTGGCAATAGATAAATAGTATATATTTCAGAAGCCAGTATATGAGTGCAGAGAGTCCTGCAATGTTCTGACTGATTTTTCTCAGAGCCTGTGGGTTTTAAATAAATAAATATTTCTTTTTAGATTGGTAGTTGTTACCCTGATTAGTTTACCTGACACTGGGTCTTGGACAATGTGGAAAGTTTGTTATGGAGTAACTTTAACTTGTCTCTTGCCTCTTGTAGTGCAAAGTGAAGCTGGCACCTAGAAATGATGTGTTAAAGTTACAGATGGGTACAGACTGCTTCCATTTAGGCTGGGTATTTATTTCTGCCAGTCTTCTGTAATGGGAAGGCAGCTGTGGTCACCTTGAAGAGAACCCTCTGCTCTTGCTCCTTGAACAAAAGGGCAAAAGAAAGGTAGTTATTGTCAAGATGTAGCATGTCTTGTGTTATTCCCCCAGCAGTTCTTGTTGAGCTCTAAAAGAAAAGCCTACCCAAAATCAGGGGGTTTGCACTGGGAATGGATTGTTGATGATGTGCTATTTCCCAGAGCAAACAGTCCCTGCTCTGATTCTTTTCATCCAGGTCAGGAGCTCTGGAGGGAACTTTTTGCTGTGCTGCTGCTGATCCAAATCTACCCTGGCTCGGGAGGAACTGAGAGGTGTTTATTGTGTGATCTGGGGTCAGCCTGGCTAAAAATACAGTGAGACATCTGTTCTTATCAGTGCAGTGGAAGAGAGGTACTTGCTGCAAAGGCTTGCCAGGAAATGGTTCCTTGGAGCTGGGAGATGCCTGAGGCTCAGAGTTACCATCCTGTGCCTTGCCCCTGTGGCAGGGCCTCTGTGGGGCACGTGATGGGGATCAGCAACTGCATGTGATGCTCTTACAGCAACTCCCTTTCTTCAGGATGGTGTCTGGGATGTGCCAAGAGAAGGCAGGCCTTCTCCATGAGGAATTCTGGGTATAGAGAGAGCTGCATTCCACTTGGGAAGCACCAATCTTGCCTCCTCTCTCCAAAAACCCACCTGCAGGATCCTCGAAGTCATACCTTGCATTTGAGGGAATTCAGGTTTGCACAGAGAAAACCCAGCACTGCAGGAAAAGGTGCTCAGCACTGGCAGGGAGTGAGAGATGCCACTTTTGCTTTCCCTCTGTGAAGGCAGTTCTTCCCAGACAGTTCACCTCTACACCCCTGAGAGATGTCTGGCTGTTTGATGCATATACTGAGATGAAAATCTCATGCTGCATTTTCTCCACTCTTGTCTGCTCAGGAGAGAAGTTTCACTTCTTCTTCTTAAAAGCTGTTTGAGGGGTTTATAAAAAGATTCTGAACTGGTGACTGGGATGTAACTTAAGTTATAAAGAAGTGGAACTGGGTGGTGAGAAGGTTGGAATGAAGCTTTGGAACAGCAGAATAAACGGGATCTCCAAGTACTCATTGAATTGAGGGAGATGAAGAAAAGCTCCAGAGTTACCTCACCAAATGTGGCAGCAGTGAATGTCAGGAATCATAAATGGTTTTGGTTCAAGATCACCTTGTTCCACCCCTGCCATGGGCAGGGACACCTTCCACTGTCCCAGGTTGCTCAAAGCCCCGTCCAACCTGACCTTGGACACTTCCAGGGATCCAGGGGCAGCCACAGCTTCTCTGGGCAACCTGTACCAGGGCCTCCCCACCCTCACAGCGAAGAATACCTTCCCCATGTCCCATCTCTCCCTGCCCTCTGGCAGTGGGAAGCCATTCCCTGTGTCCTGTCCCTCCATCCCTTGTCCCAAGTCTCTCTCCAGCTCTCCAGGAGCCCCTTTAGGCTCTGGAAGGGGCTCCAAGGTCTCCCTGGATCCTTCTCTTCTCCAGTTGAACACCCCCAGCTCTCCCAGCCTGCATCCAGGGCACAGGGGCTCCAACCCTTGGAGCATCCCATGTCCACTCTTTCCACATGTACATCCAAACCCATTTTGGGTCTCTTTATGCATTCAGATCCTTCCCTCTCTGTTTGTGGTACTTGCTTGTAATTCTCAGCATATTTCTCTCTTATCTGCTGCCGATATTGATGTTACCCCATAGAAAAGAGAAATAGGTAAATTGATCCAGCAGGGCTACTAAAATGAAAAAAGTACGTTATATTCAGTATGTGAACATATCAGTAGCAGCAGCAGCAGCAAATTTATGCATTCAATGCAGATTTTTTTCAGCCTCTGTCTGAAAAATCTCAGAAAAATTTCACGGAAGGACTTACCTTGATGTTGGGCATCACTGGTTTTCCTATATTCTCCCTATGAAATTAAACCTTCAGTTAGGGAAACTATATTGCTAAGACAATTCAGGGAAAGTGAATTTCTTTTCCTGTTCTTCCCTGTCTCTTTTTAATTTTTTTTAAATTTTTATTTTAAGGAGGGACGTTTTGTGGTTTTTTGTTTGTTTTTCAATTTTTGAAGTGTATTTAAAGCTTGGCAACTTGACACCCACCTAGCCCCCTAAAGTGTGCAAGTACTAGAAAAACCAGATAAGGAGCTTTCCTTGAAATGGCCTCCCAGTAAAATTGGCACTATAGGAAATACTTCATGTTTCAATAAAACCCAAGTAATCTGTGTGGGCTCGTTAGCTGGGAATTAGTGAGAGGCACCGTGTGTTGTGTGTGCAAGGCAGAGATTGTGGGGCTTCACTTCCTACAGGCTCCTCCTGGGTAACATTTGTAAATTGTTTGGAGCTCCACTACCTGCCACAGATGCAGTGAGGAAAATACTCCGTGTGCATTTCTGGGAGGGAGCACAGCCAAGTGCCTAAATAGCTCATTTCTTGCTTTTTAGCTGCAGGAATTTGTTTATTGGTTAAACTCTTAAGTTCCCTTGACCCTTTTACCCCGTTGTGTATTAGAGGAGCAGTGTTGTTTCACTACCACAGTCTGTTTGGATGATTGAATCCCAACCCAGAGGGGTTTGCTGTCTGTGTGTGCACAATTCTGTGAGCAGAGCTGCTCCTCCTGGATCTGCCCAGTGCAGGAATTCCGCTGGAGCTCAGAATGCTTGTGGGATAGAGGTGGTGATTTATCTTTTCATACACCTTTTTTTTTTTTCTTCTTTCTGTTTTGCACACAAGAACAGCTCTTCCCTCCCTGTGGGGGAAGTCACTGAGCACAAAGCTGTCCTTCAGAACATGCCCTGCTTTCTGTCCTGTCCAGGTTCCCCGTCCTCACCCGGGGATGTATGAAAGATCGATCTCCCAGTGTGTGCCTTGATTTATCTTGATTTATTAACTGAGAGGCTCTTGTGGAAAGAATCAGGGGTGAGTTTCAAAGGGGCCTTTCCTGAAGGCATCTTGCCAAGTCCTGTCTCGTGCTTGATGCTTTCCAGCTCAGAGCTATTGAAAGGAGAAATACATCCACAGAAGGGGAGCAGAAGAGGAAAGTTGTGGTGTTAATCTGCTTTCAGTGACTTTTCCAGGCCCCCTGGCACCCGTGAGCCCATGTTTGCACAGGCCACAGGTTGTGCTTCTGTTGGTGGAGCTGCTTCAGGTGTTCACTCAGCTCTTTGGACACACTGAAATATCGTTGGTATAAATTTTCCATTTTGTTTCCTGACATTGCTGTAAAATTAAACAGAACTTGCTGTTTCCCATTTTATGACAGACCAGGTGGCAGCACAGCCTAAATAAATCCCAGCTGGGGCACAGCTCACCCTTTCTGTACAACCCCTTTCCTCTTGATGAAGACACGACAGCTCTTCCTAAGTGCCTGTCAGCTCAGTTATGTCTCCTTAGGCTTCCATGGTCACCTGGTACCTCTCTGGCTTTGGAGGTTGGGGATGGCAACCCTTTGTGTATCTTTAAGGTGTCTCTGTTTGACAGTGCTTTACTTTTTTAGTGTGAATGGTTTCACCATCTGTCTTGTCTTTTTTTCCACGAACAGGAATGAGAGGATGGGCATGACTTTTAACCCTCTAAACCCCACAATATTTGTTATTCTTAGGGGCCACACTAAGCATGAGACCAGCTCCTATCCCAGTAGAAGAGCCAGAATGGAGACAGACGCCTCCCCCAGTCACAGCTACCTCTGGGACCTTCAGACTACGGCGAGGCAGTCGGTTCACGTGGAGAAAGGAGTGCCTGGCAGTCATGGAAAGGTAGGTCACTCTGAGGGTTTGGAGGTGGGTGTTTTAAACCCAACTCAAGTGTCCTTTTGCCTGCTCTGGTGAACACCAGCACTGTTTTCATGGGTGTGTTTTAGCATTATGCAAGCCTGTAATTGATTCTAGAGAGTAGGAGGAGCTGTTTTACCTCTTGTGTTGTTTAAAAAAATGTAACACTGCTCTGGACAATCTCTCTTTTTTTTTTTGTAGCCCCCAGGACATCATGTCTTTAGCTGAGTATTGGTGCTCAGCTCTTCCTTTGCTTTTGCAGAAACCTTTCCACTTAGCCTCTTGGTGGGGATCTGCACTCTCTTTACACTCTGCATTTCTCCTTTCCCACTCTCCTGATTTCCCCTCATCGTGTATCCGGGTATTTTATAGTTGGTACTGACATTTTGACAGCGCTGTGATCGCTCAGGATGCAGAACTTTGCCTAACAAGCCATAGATTCCTTGTCCAAAAAGGCTCTTACAACCCTTTTGCATGAGCTGGGAGCAGCACAGAGCAAAGTGGATCTTTCAAACACATCTGCAGAGTGGGAGGTGATCATTAGAGCTCCCAGCCCTCCAGTCCTGCAGAGATGGAGCACTCTGAGCCTGGGCATGCTTTACCTTTCCCTCTGCTCACAGTAATGTCTCTTTTGTGGATAATGTTGTATAACAGGAAAGGGCCAGTGAACTCAGATGTAGTTTAGGGATGAATGCTTGTTTCTGTTCAGGGCTAAATGGCTGGGAAGAGTTTTCTCTCCTCTGAGGGCAGGAGGAGCTTCCTTTCCATGGAAGCACCATGTGTGTGCTACACTCCTCTGGTTTGCAATTCCAGCAACACCTCGGCCAGCAGATCTGTGGGATGTGCTTTTACCATTTCTATAATGCTTTTCTTCCCTCCTGCTTGCACAAGGGCCTGGGGAACTGATTAGGAGCAGGAGCTGAGGCCGAGCTAAGACTGAAATCTTGAGCTGCCTCGGGAACACAGGATAGACACACTTCTGTGTGGGCACAGGCTGTCACAGGGTCTTTGCAGGACTGGAACCAGTAACTAAGTGTTTGTTTCCCTATTCTGACCTGGCACTGCATTGATATTTTCAGCTTAGACTGGATGTTTCCCCGAAGGGAATATTTGAAAAATGTTCTGCTTTGCTGGACTAAACTAATGCAAAGTCCTGGGATCTGATTGTGCAGGACTGTGTTTTTCTGGTGTCCCCCTCCACAGAGGCAGTACAGGATCTTTAGCACTTTAAAATGCTTGTATGACTGTCCTGATATGTAAAATGACAAAAGCACCACATCTCTGTGTGCCTTCAGGACAGCACCATCTCCTGATGAACCCTCTGTGTGTGAAATAGTTACTCTGAAGTAGAATTAGAGCTCTTTGGACGTGGCTGTTTTCATTTTTTGGTTTCTATCTGGCCTGAAGTGCAATAACTGCTGTGATTTGCTGTTTGAATCCTGGTTGTGCCTCAGACACCTCTGTGGGGGAACACAGAGCAGAGGAAGAGCTGAGCAAACCAGCACTACCCTTTCCTCCTCCACACCTCTCCTCAAGCCTGTCTCTGCTGAGACACTCTCAGAGAACCTGTGGTTTGATGTGTCTGTTAGAAAGGTGTGAGATTTGGATTTGGTTATGGAAAGAAGCAAATCAGTGCTGTTTGAAATCACCCAGTCATGAATGCAGATGCGTAATCGCTCGATCTTAATTTTTCATTAACTTCTTTTCTTCTTTGTTTTATTCTCTGTGTCTTGTGCTCTGTAAGGTCTTTGCTGCTGGGGTTTTCTTCTTATTCTGCTGCTGCCACATTGCCTTAAACCTGGCTTTAATGTTAATTTGCCAAGCCCTTGGTAGGTCACCGTGAGCGCTGAGTTTCCCAGTCTTGTGTGGGGTGCTGGAAATCAGGGCTGAGGAGTTTCATTCAAGGCAGGGCCACAGTAAAAGTGTTGTATGGCAATAAAACTACACCATAAAGCAAGCTGGGAATATGGTTGTTAAACTGTTGTGCTTTAGTAGGCCTAGTAGAGCTGGAGGGATGAGCTGTTTTATGTGACAGGTTTTGAAAGAGTGGGAGAAAAATGCTCTTCTGGGAGCCCCGGGAAGAAAGGAACGAATTTCACTTACAAGTCACTGGAGTCTTCCAGGCTTGTCCAGAATGTGACTCATAACAGCAGCAGGATGGAGGTAACCAGATTCCTGGCTGTCTGGCCCAAGAGATGGGGTTTCCTCCATGCCACAGGGTCAGGAATAAGCATTTGGCCAGTAAAAGGATGGTTGGCATTGCCTGTGGGCTGGTGCTGTTTGTTGGGTAATTTGCATTTTCCTCCCAAGGATTAAATTTTGACTGTGAATGGAGGCATCTCACTTTAATGGGCTGTTTTCCTCCAGGAAGTGCAAGTTCACTGCATTGTGTTTGTATGTCCTGCTGCTTTGGGAACCTCAGCTGATAACTGTCCAGCAAGGAGGAACAGAGATGCAGGAGACAATTCCATCCAATTCCTATGAGGGTTGTAAGCACTTCCCTCTCTGGTTGCCTTCTGCACTTAGAACTGACTTTGGTCATTTAGTTTAAAGCCTGAAGATAAGAGGGTTGAATCTAAACCTTACTGGAAACTCTTGTGTAGGTATTGCAGAACTTCTTCCTTCTGGATGTTACTGGAATGCTGTATAAACAATTTTTGGGTGAGGGTGGGGGTGTTGACCTGCTCTGTCAGTTAATTGTGTGCTGTTGAGTTGTATTCAGTTGGTGAGAACTGCCATCACTAAAAGTCAGTGTGTCAAACCAGCTGAGAGCACTTCAGGGAAAGGACCTGAATTTGATTGCAAAAATTAGAGGGATTTGCCTCCTGGAGCACTGAAAATGCACAGCACTAGTCAGGATTTGACCCATGAGCTGAATGAGAAGGGTGAGGGTTGAAGGGCTTGTTTCTCTTTTTTTTTTAAATATTGAAATCAACAAAAATTCCAGTGCAATTAATTATTATATTGGTGCCAACCTGATAGGATTAAGATTAGAGTTAGGGCCATACACTTAGATGTCTGATGTACCTAAGTGTCTGTGTACAGGATATGTGTATTAAAGAAACTAATTGGTTTATACTGGATTTCCAGAATGCTGCTTGTGGTTTGTGTAATTCAATTCTCCAGTCTTCCCTGCTTTTTTGGAATCCTCCCAGAGTAGTTTATTAGTCTCTGGGCTTAGATTTCGGACAATGGATTCGGGTCTCTTTTCTCCCTTTATTTATTTATTTAATTTTTTTTTTAAGCACATCTCTCAATATTTATGCTGTGAAGGTTAAGAGGAGCAGTAGTTCCAGAAAGTAAAGCTCTATATTTAACTGCAGACTAGGTGTGGTTCAGACAACTGCAGTGCAAAGCTCCTTCTCTCTGCTGTGCTACTGATACCAACCTTGACCTCTTCCCTCCTGGAGCCTCCTGCCCGTGGAATATGCTGAGTTTTGAGTGTGTTGGTGTTGTCGTGTGGCTCTGCCCTCCTTTGGGAACAGAGCTAAGCCTGCAAGAGTCTTTTCTGTGCAAACCTCAGGTTAAACTTGAAAGCCCGTTTCTGCTTCACTTTCCTGTTCTTTTTCTGTTACTTCTTGTCCCACAGATAATTTTTATTTTTCTTCTCTCTGCTTTACCTCTTCTTTTCAACCCCTCTCGTTAGAACCATGAAATAGAAAATTCCCTCAGGGTTTTCTCTTTTTTTTTTTTTTTTTTTAAACGAAGCTGTGTTGTCTTGTTTTATTTTCTTTATTATTATTTTTTTCCCCAAGTGATTTGTGCTTCTCCTCTAATCATGTGTTGGAGTTGAGGTTTATCTTCTTTTTCAGGCAAACAGAATAACTAAGATTGGCAGCAGAATCAGTGACTTTATACCCGTTTTAAGGCACTTTTGTCGAGTGCCATTAAAGACTGGAGGGGGAGTTGAGTGTTGTTTTTTAAGTATACACTTTATCCAAAGATTAAATTAAAAAAACTGTAAATTCTGCCCTAAACAAAAATGAATAATTCATCAGTTGAACGTATTTCTGTTTGTCTGGGGAGCAGAGACTTTGCTTTCTGGTTGAGGGTTGTTTGGTTTGATTTTATGGGTCTGATTTTTTTTATTTTAACACTTGTCTGTGCTTGTGAAACTCCTTTTGTAAAGGGTGTATTTAGATTAAATAAGACTAAGATGATATAGATACCCATTATCCCCATTTCATAGGTGGCAAAACAGAGTCAGGTGTTTCACTTGGCTTTATTCCCGAGAGAAATGGGTTTAGATTTCCTGAGATAGGAGTATAGTTTCATGCTATAGCTGAGCTGAATTAACAGTTTGTCACCAGCTCATCCTTAGGTGTTATCCTGCCTCACCACCCTTCTCAGTTCCTCCTCCTCCTCAGTTTCCCTGCTCCTACCACCCTGCACTGTGCCAGATATGTTTCTTGTCTGATGGAAATAGCAGCCAGTTCAGCTCAGTTCAGGGAAAATAAATCCTTTTTGTCCCTCCCCCTGCATTTTCCTGAGTTGGTTCATCTTACTGTGCAGGGAGACGGGTACCAGAGCTGTCCCAGGGCAGAGGACAGGGATGCACAGCTGGGAGCACAAGGAAGGGGAAGTTTAACAAAAGATGGATGGATTATCCATGGTGGTTTTTTGATCTGCTTGGTTTTGTTCTGGTTTTGTTTGGTTTGAGTTGGGTGAGTTCCTGGTTTCATTAAAAGCATGGCCATACTGGCAGTTGTGCTGGCATCATGGAAGAGAGGTCTTTTGATTTTTCCAGGGAGCAGGAATGGATTAGTTCCATGAGGATTAGAGAGATGGAGCACCTGTCCAATGAGGAAAGGCTGGGAGAGTTGTGGGGGTTAACCTGGAGAAGAGAAGGCTCTAGGGAGACCTGAGAGCCCCTTCCAGTACCTAAAGGGGCTTCAGGAGAGCTGGAGATGGACTTGGGACAAGGGACAGGAGGGACAGCACAAGGGGGAATGGCTTCCCACTGCCAGAGGGCAGGGTTAGATGGG